AACTTTGCTTTTGCTGCAATTTAAGTTTTGACTGGCTCGTCTTGATTTCATTTTGAAGTTATTCCCCATTCCCCCTCCACCATCACCATCTCAAATGCAAAAACTTTGCTAATGCTGAACAGCCCTGCAAGTTGGCAAAAGTCAATCGGGAAATGCATTTCTGATATCAAACATGGACTGTTTTAGAGTTCTAACCCTCTCTCTCTCCGCCTTACCCTATCTGCATATACTGTTCTTATGCCGATTTGGAAAACTGTAGAAAGTTGCAATTAAAAGTTCTTTGGATCCGTTTTACAAGCGCATTAATTCTGTGCAACGCATAACTAATGATTTAATTTCGCCTGCCCACTGGTATATCTCGGCCTGCTGGGCCTGTTTTGCCATCATTAGCAACTTAAAAATGATTATTTGCAATGCAAATTCATTCGGAGGGAGAAAAAGAGAAATAGAGAACGTAGAACGAAGTCTAGAGAATATGAAATGTGTGCCATCTGCATGAGAAATGCAGCAATTATGTCAGTCTCAAAAGGGGTAACTGAAAAGACTGAAAAGAGTTTGGAATTTAAACTGGAACTGGTATAAGGAAAGAGTCTTAAAGAGTGGGTACTCGTAATCCACTGATTTTCCACCTTTTGAGGTGCCAAATATTCACACACTTACAGCAACCGCTCCCCAGATGATCTCGGGGCTAACTTTCTGTATAAGCGTAATAATGACCTCGCCATAATAGACAGCAACTAGACGCAATCCCCACAAAAATTGAAATACAGCTCCCAGTGCACACATTTTCCCCGGCCCAGCTGGGTGGAAAATCTGAAAGGGGGTAGCAGGGAGCGCCTGGGAAATGGGGGTCAGAATGCTGTAGCATTTTTCACTGCCTACATAGCGACGAGGCGGCCATAATGTCATTTAATTAAACGCCAGAGAGCAGTTGCCCGGCCCTCCTGGCTGTTGTTTGCTGCTTTGTTACTTGTGTTTCTGTTTTTTTTTTGGTTACTTGTGCCGGGTCAGCGGCAGCTAAACGGTTAACCAAAGTTAGCGGAAAGCTGGCTTCACATAATTTGGCCAAAAACCAGTAGGAGGCAAGGACATTGAGAACGCTGAGGCCAAGGACCAGCAATTTATGTTCATTTGCATAGATATTAAAAATTGTTAGGAAGTCATTAGTAGGCATCAGTCAAATGACGCAGCCTGCATATAAATTAAGCATAATTTTATTAGGCCAACTCTCCGGGAAGGTCACCCACTTGACAAATGTCCGCGGGGGGCGTGAAAGGCGAGGAATGAAACCCAAACGAAAAAAACGTGTGCTTGTTGTCGTATTAATTATTAGTTTTAATTGCGTTTTGTTTTGGGTATCTGGGTGGGGCGGGGTATGGTTTTTCCCTTAGCCAAATCATCCCTCAAGCTAAATCTGGTTTATCCTTGGACAAGCTTGGGGGCCTTTGACTTAGGCCCCATCAAGGACGTAGAACAACCCCAAAAATTGTCTGCAATTAAATACTTGAAACCATAATGTATTTTTCACAAGTTGAGCTATGTTGACCATTTGGTTGCGGATGTGGCTGATGCCCCCTATCCTGACCCGACCGCACCGCAACCCTGCTGTCCAGTGTAAATTACATGCACAAGAGGCCAACAAAGAAAACTCATTTGTATTCCGAGACCCAACGAGGACCAACGGCTTAACCGACCACCCACACTGACCACTGACCACCCCCACCGCCCGCAAGTCAAAAGCTCAACCACAAGCAATTTTATTATTCTTTTCCTCCCCCTCATGCTCTCTCTCTCTCGGTTTTTTGTTCTAAACACATCCACTGAGATAACTAATTCGAGTTGCGTCTGCTGTTTGCTTATCAAAAATTTTAATTGCTTTATTTTCTTTTTTTTTGCGGATTTTTTTTGCTGCTCGGCCTTTGAGATTTCCCGCCACGGCTTATCTATTTATTATGTGTGTGTGTGTTTGGATTTGTTTGGCCAACTGTTCGATCTGGGTAGCTTCCTTTTTGGCCGAATCCGCCAGGGAGACTTGGCGCCATCTAGCTCACGTTTTCAAACTCCAGCGATTCCATCGCCATCGCCATTCGCACTCGCCCCTGGACTCTCACTCCCACTTCCGGTTTCCGCTCCGATATTAAATGGTGCGCGTAATTAGATTTTAAATTTATTGTTCTGTGTGCTGGTATTTATTTTGTCTGCCTTGGTGTGCATAACAATGCAATGGCTGCAATAAATAAATAAACAAAACGTGAATGTGAATTCAATGGCACGGCATCTGGGCTTGTATTTGTGCAGGGATATATAGGGATATAGCTGGGCCTCCGGGGAGCCATTGAATAGGATCTACACAAAGTAAAAATGCAGTTTAAAATAATAGAAAAAGTTTGGAGAAATTTAATAAGAATATTCTCTAAAATAGAAGTTAAAATCAGGAAAGAAAAAGTTGGTTCCTGATGACTCTTTTTCTTAGTCTGATTAATAATTATTTCAAATCTATCTTCATATACCATATTCTTAAGTACTAAAAACTATATAAAATTATGTCTTCTATTCCCCTGACTTTCAATCAAAAGCATCTACAATTTTCCCCAGTGTAATCACAGCCATGGCGCCTGGCCAAAATCATTCCTTCGGCAGTAAATTGAATTTGGAAATCGATTACCTGATTGATGCTGCAAATCTCTGAGCTCAATCATTGGTTAAAGTACACTTCAAACATGAGCAGATTTAAGAGTTAATCAAGGGGGGGGGAGGTGGTCAGATACCACCTGCAAATCCTTGCCCCACTTTCCGACTAATTTATGGCTCATCTTTGCCCAGATCCTGCCGCAAAACTGCGGCCATCCGGCGACCGATTCATGGACTGTCATCCCGACCGCAGACAAGTGCCACCACACAGACAAGATACTGAGGCATGCTGCAACATGCAGAGAACTGCCAACGGTCTGCCATCCAAGCTGAATGGACAGATGGACAGGTGGACAGACATATGGACATATCTCTCGACTGGGCAAGCCTTTAAATGTACATAAATTTTCGGGGCTGGCGGCGTGAGTAATGAGCGCTTAATAAGGCGCCGCCATTGGCATATTTTAAAGTTCCTGAATGGAAATACAGTGCATGTTTCATAATTTACATATTGCGAAAATATTTGTGCTCATTAAATATGCGCAAAATAAATGTGAACGTGCGAATGCAGCTGAAAATTGTTGGGTTGGCTTGGCTTGTTTGCAAAATTTCATAAATCACCGCTGTTAAAAACGTTGCTGTTTCTGTACTTTCTCATTATGATGATGATGATGAGTTGTCTGTCCTGTACGATGGCAATATCAACTGGCACATCCTGTGTGAAAGGCAAACGCTTCGGGGGCGTGGGGTTAAAAGGAGGTGCTCGACCATCTGCCTCGCCATGTTTACACATGTTCAAAACGCAAATGAGCCGTAAAGCGCTGATAATGCAACAAACTGACAATTGACGATTCAACACAATGCCACCCCCCCGGCAGATACTTAAATTTTTCCATTCCGAAATCATGTTTAAAGGAAATTTTTAGCTTGCTTCTAACAAAAATGCCAGGGAAAGGGAAACATTTTTCTTAAAAGGAACTCCATAAGTCAGATTTAAGTTTAAAATTCTATTAATAAAACATCTTTAATATCATAAATACTTGGCTTAAGTCTTAAAAACCCAAACGGAGAAGATTAACTCTCCCATTTGACATGATTTTTTTCGATGTGCACCTGACTTTTGATTCAGGTTTCTGGGGCATCTGCTCAATGTTTTTCCATCACTCGACCGCAATGTTGTTTTTCTTATTTTCGTTTCATTTTTTCCTTGTTTGCCCCAGCCCTGATAGAGTCGTTTCATCCTTGAGCTCCTGTCTATATCAGTTTGCCCCGCGTCCTGTCGGCAGCATTAAAAAATATGCCAATAACATGGCCAACTCGCTGGCAGGCCAAATGATGCGTTCTCGTTTTCAGATGTGAATCAAAATGAGCTGCCTGCCAGGAGAGATAGCTCATGCATGTCGGCAATGGGCGGGTCAGCGCCACGCCCCTCTATCCCCACCCTCCTCTTTCGGACAATGGCGCGAAATGTGTAACGGAAACCACAGTTGAGTGCACGGCATGAGGGATCGAAGGATTGAGTCCAAGTCCGACTGAAAGCCCGGATCCGGGTGGCCGGGTGCTCCGGCGGGTCTCAGTAATGCGGACAATAAAATTTTAACGTAAATGTTGCGTAATTAAATGTGCTCGCCGCACGGCAGCGTAAAACGAGATTGAGATTGTTTTTCCTCTGTGTTGACCGGCAAACAATGGAGCAGAAGAAGATATGCCCGGTCTGGCTGGCTGGCGGAGTCCGAGTTTCGAATCTGTTTGAAGAACACGCAGCATAACTCAGAACTTATTGGGGTTAATGGAAGTGGAAGTTGGTTGCACTGAAGTAAAATTACGATAATATATTGCAAGAGTGCTTTCCGGGTGAGGTAGGAAACAGAATGGTTGGCTTTCTTCAAGATTTTCAGGGGCTTTTGTTTAAGGAAATCAAAGGGAAAGTGTAAAATATTATTGAAGAAGTTCAATAATGTTAAAAGGACTTCCTTCGTTTCCTTGAAATTCCTCTAATTAAAATACAAATATTTTGGTTAATTACCTTCTTAGCCACTTATATTAATTTGACCACAGCTTTTGGCATTTACACTTAGCTCCCAGCTCATTCCTTATTACCTAATCCTTTCTGGTCCCAGCCCAAAGTGCTGGCATACTTTTGGGCGCCGTAGCAAAGTAACCGCAGAATGCGCTGCGGTCAATGGGCAAGACTTTGCCAGCCTCGTCATATCGATTAAGCCATCAAAACTTCGACCGCTTATTAATGCGCGTACATCAGCGCTAAAGTGCGGTCATAATTCAAATCGAGGCGCTCTCTCCTTGAAGGGCGCCAGAGCGGCAGGGCGGCCATTGGGCAGTTCTCTGGATCAATTGTTTCGCCAGCCGCGATGAGGGAAGTGAATCTACTCAACCGCCTTGCCCGTCAGTTCCTGTTCCTCATCGTATTGCTGACCCAGATGTGCGGCGTCACCACGTTCGTCTATAGCTCAAAGGCCCAAGGCTTTCGGCAATCCGGAATCCTGCGGTTATACTCCAGCCTAATACTCTCCCTGGTGGCTTTCGTTCTCGTCATTAACATAAGTAAAATGTTTGATAAGCTGCAAGTTGTGTGGCCATATCTGGTTGGCAGCATTGTGATGCTGGTAGTTCGTGTCCAGGGATTTATGGATAGTTCGGATATCGTTGAGTTGCTGAATGAAATTCTTGAAATACTCAGACAGGTTAAGGTGATGGCCAGGAATCCGAATATCTTTCGCTTGAGGCACTTTATGCTGTTACTCTTGACTCTGCAGAATCTTCTACGATCTCTTACTATGCTGATAGGATTTAAAAAGTTCTCCGAAGAAGCCTATGATACTTTGGCCAATACCATTCTAATGCTTATCCTGCTGGGAGTTCTTTTGAGTTTCCTCCTCCAGATCACCCTCAATATCTGCCTGTTTGTGGTGCTCATTGCTGTTTATAATGAACTTCATCGTGACATTCAGAGGATCTCGAATGATATGGATAAGCTAGGAGCAAGCCAGGTTCTTGAAAGTGGTCAGTTTTTGGTTTTAGTAGAGCAACTTCAAAGGATCACTGAGCGAGTGATTCGATTGCGTTGGAAAGTTTATAATCTTACCCTAAGGATCATCCGGCACTTTAGGTTTTATTGGCTGTGTGCTATTACCTACGGATTGATACCCTTTCTAGGCTTTACGGCCATAGATCATCATGGCTTCTACTACCTTACTGTATCAGCGTTGAATATAATCTTTCAGTGCACCATTTTCAAGATACTTTCAGGGGAGTCAAGGATCAGCAGAAGTTTTTCTAGCTTTCAGCTGGGCAACTATCTTAAAGAGATAGATAGAATAGTAAGTACTTCAGTTTGATAGATAAATGATAACTTATTAATGGTTTTCCTTTGCGTACAGATTGAGGAACTTCTGCATCAGGAAATCAGGACAACCATCCAAGTCACCATATATGGCATAACACTAGATACGAGATTCCTGATGAAACTACTCTCCATCAGTGCCTTTTGGGTATTGGTTAACCGGCAGGGGTACTTACACCTCCATTGTACTCACTAGATATCCTGCCATTTAAATGTCAAATTAAAGTCAGAGAGAGAGACAAAGAGCTACTTGTCTCAATTTCGATACTGTCGCTTTTTGTCTATTATTAGCATTTCGGGTTGTCATGCTATCGCAACTGTAGTGCGGGAATGTCAATTGCTGAAGTCAAAAACTGCCTTTCGTAGAGATACTTTGCCGGCAATTACGTAGCCGTTTCCATTGTTCCATCAGCACTCGAACAAGCTTCATAATATTTTCACTTTTATGGCAGGCAACATAAAAGACGACAGCTTCGGCAATAGCAACAACATCATCATTATCAACACCATCAAAGCCCGGAAAATTCCACCTTCTGTGACTTGGCTCTCTTCCCTTTGCCCTTGCCCTGAATTGTCGTAAAATCATAGAAAGAAAAAGGAAAAGCAGGAGAGGGGACGAAAAGTGTGAGTGCGTAAATTTCTTTTTGGACTTGGAGTCGCTCAAGTGTCCTTCCATTTTGTGTCATAAAATTAACGCTTTATATGAACGAAAGCATAAGGCGCTCGATTTTTATCACCAAGGCCAACAAGATGGCCATGAACGAATTTGGAACAACAACATAGGGGAAAGAATTGGTACTAGTTAAGTGCCTGCAAGGTTGGCCTGTAATTACACGTTTGAAAAGGAAATTGCAATCGAAAAGTTTCGTTTCTTCATGGGATATCAGAACTTAACTTTAAGTTATCTTATAAATAAAGTCTTTAAAAAGACTTAAGATGATTTTAGTAATATTTAACTATAACCATTTACCTTCCCTTCTTTCTCCCAGTGCAGCATCTTATACCCAACCTTACGACAGCATAAAAAGTTTAGAGTTGAATTAGAAGGACAAGTCCAGTGTCTGCCTAAATGAGATGACCCTGAACGAGTGTCTAATTATTTACGTGCAATGAAAGTTATGATTTTGGGGGCCGGCCAGGCCAAGTCAGGAGAGGGGTAAAAACATTTCTAAGGCCCGAACAGACCTGTGCCTTTGCTGTCTGGACTGAAAGGGGTTTCAGTCTGGTTTCATAGCCAGGCCTTTGTACACATTCTCGTGTTGTGTCTAAATGTGAAATCGTTTTTTTCTCTCTCTGAAGTGATCTCTGAAATTTCAAAAAGCAACTTCAAATTAAACTCAGTATACTAGAAAACCGATATAACCAAAAGAAAGCCCAAGAAATGTTGACCTCGAATCAGTCTACTGAATTCCAGATGATGGACTGCGGCACCGAGACGCTAACCGATTCCCGTTCCAGCTCCAGTCCGGACCTGAAAGCCCTTTCGGAGATGGATCTGCGTAAGCCGCTCAAGGAGATCGGCGATCAGCGTTTGAAGCATCCCTTGGAGAATACATGGACACTGTGGTATCTGGAGAATGATCGCACCAAGTCCTGGGAGGACATGCAAAACGAAATCACTAGCTTCGACATGGTCGAAGACTTCTGGAGTCTCTACAATCACATCAAGCCACCATCCGATATCAGAGTCGGTAGCGATTATTCGCTGTTCAAGAAGGGCATACAGTAGGTTGGGATTCATTCTATCTCTAGTTAAGCCAACTCTCTTTCACTCTTCCAGGCCAATGTGGGAGGATGAGGCCAATAAGTATGGCGGACGCTGGGTTATCAATATGGGGCGTGGCTCCAAACTGGAGATCGACAAGCTCTGGCTAGATGTGGTAAGTAGGGAAAAGGAGCTTTGTGTCCATTGGTTGTCATATCTCTTGTACAACCTCTTTTCTGCCCGCTGACAGCTACTCATACTGATTGGCGAGGCCTTTGATAACACTGAAGAAGTCTGCGGTGCTGTTATCAACTTGCGTGGGAAGAGCAACAAAATTTGTGAGTATCACTGAGAAAAAACATCAAAAAAGGATCAGAAATAATATATTTTAAGATAACAACTTAAATCTCTTAGAACTTTAGTCAGGCCTAGAGGCCAAGTCATAGCTGCTTACTCATCTTTACAGTTTAACTTTGAGTAGCTTCCAACATTTTGTTTCAGTGTACTAAGCATTGCTGGCCACTAAGCACCGCCATGACAACTCCTAACGTAGCTTCTCTATTCCACCAGCAATTTGGACCGCCAACGGGCTCAACGAGCCGGCCGTCATGGAGATTGGACTCAAGCTACGCGACCTGCTCGTTCTGCCGCCCCACCAACTGCAGTACCAGCTGCACAAGGACTCCATGTCCAAGCAGGGATCGTTGGTCAAATCGGTTTATTGCGTGTAAGCCGCCGCCCTGGTTCCATGGATGCCACACAACAACGCAACCACCCAACCACCAAACCACCCAACCACCCAATCACCCATCCATCCATCCGACCAACTTCCCATATTTCCATGGCCGCTTTTGGCGGTTGCTGTTTCCAGCGCGTGTATTTAAAAAAAGTAAAAAAAAAAATATAATATGTATCTTGACAAAGAACGGGCTTTATGATTTCTGACGATGCTAAAAAATTGCAAAAGAAAGCTGAGAGAGAGTTTTCCCTGGGACGAGGCCAAGGGTTAAATTCCCACGCTTTAAGGTCCCAAGGAGCTGGTTTTATGCCGCTAGTTGGTTCGCTTTACGCTCCACGAAATGTTATGCAAACATATGCCGCACCAGGGCGCAAATAAAATGGTTTATATACACTTGCAGTTTGTACTTTTGGCCGGGCCAAATAGAAGTGCACAGTGACTGCAAAAGATAAACGTCCACTTGGCTCGCTTGGCTGGCCGAGCGAAAAACAAAGGACCGAAAAGGGTCAACAATGGGCTATAGGATTGTCCGTTTTAGCGGGTGCCGTTGGATCTCTGGGATCTCTCTGGTCTCTGGTATCTGTTAGTGGCGTCGAGGGCTCCGAAAATGGAGACAATTGAATTTTGATGAAAGGCCCGTAACGGTGGTGGTGGTGGTGCCTCGTGCAGCATTAAAATTCATGCTAAGTGCTTCGAGTTGCATGAAGGAGAGGGCATACTTTCAATTAGTTTGTATGTTTAACTACCTTTTCTTAGTTAGTCATAGTAGTAAGTTTCTGATATTGAAAGTGATTCCTTGTGTTTGATCTTTAACCTTAAGCCCAACTTAGCCTCTTCTTTCGCAGTCATAAACCTGAGTAAATGGTGCATTTTTTATGTAACCAACACGGGTCAACAGGCCTTTCAATCAACATTCAAATTCCGATGGCACCCGCACGTGCAGTGGCAACTTCATTATGAGCCACTTTAAGCTGACAAAACTCATCTCTATCCGCATAGCTCGTTGACTGCATTTTATGGCCCCGGCCCAGGTGGCGGCGGCTTACATGGGGGAGCTGTTAAACCGAAACCGCATGAAAACCGCACACGTCCCACATGGCATGCAGCTGCCTTGCTGTACTAACTAAACCAACCCAACCCCACCCCCTTAGCGTTCTTTGCACCTTGTGACATATTGCTGGGAGGAGGGGGCGGGGAGAGGTAGAACACCGCAAACTTTTTGCCTTCAGACGAATATTTACAAATTAGTTGCTCGAAACGTGACATCGAGAATGTTGTTGCACTTGCAATCGGAGTCGCATGCGAAATAGCTGGCTTTGGTCTGTGCCTCGTGCCAGAAAATGTTGGTAAAAACTTTGCCGGCTTGCAACTTAATTAGCACATAAATAAATTATCCTGCCATTAGATGCTTTTTGACACGTCTGTGTGAAGACCAGGAATTTGGTGATTAAAAGCGGATAAGTTGGGTGACTAAAAAAAAAGGTTTAAATTAGAAAAATCATTCAGAGATTGGAATATTCACAAGGGATTTTGTAAAACAAAATATGTTGAAGAGGATTGCCAGGATCAGAATTCAATATGTCTGATTCAACGTATCAAACTTTTATTGACTTAATCTGCATGAACAATGATGGCATCTGCTTTGTTCTGAAACTCTGAAACTAATATCAAATTGGAAGATTAAAATCTGAAATCGAGTGATTTGTATTAGCTCTATTTTAGACTGGAATCAAACTCCCCATCACCCACCTCCACCTCTATGTTAGTCCATGCATATATATCAACACTTTTCATATTGCCAACACAGACCGCATTGAGCTTCAGCTTTGGTTTTTATGGCCACACCAGCTGGACAAGCACTATGCCAGTAACACCCAACCATCCAACCACCCATCACCACCCACAAGCTCTCCATTTCTGCTCAGCTTTTGTTTATTTTGTGTGCATTGTTGGGACTCGCGCGTTCGCTGGTTTCAGCTTTTGGTTTGAGTTTGGCTTGGTCCTTTTCTCTTTTGGCCGAACAACACTACACAACATAAAAATAAATTGCACTTCTGACACTTGAATACAGTGTGGAGAGGGGAAGAGTGGAAGTTTTGGGTAAAAGAAGGTGAAGTTGGATTTGGGGAGTTGATGTGGGAGTCGAAGAGCAGGCAGGCAGCTGCTACTGTTTGGCCAGCGACACATGATTAAGTGGAGTTTGCGGTTGGCTTTGTTCGGGGAATACGCATGTAAATCTATTTGGGTATACATTATCGTCGTCCAGTTGAAGCTTAACTTTTATCATATAATAAAATGTAATTTTCCAACTCGTAACTCTCTGGTAATTAGAATTTATAGCGAACTTAATCGCTTTTGGCAAGCTCACTAAATGGAAATGGGAAATCGGGAGGGGAGATCCACTCAGCATTTATTTCATTAATTTGCGCCAAGAAGGGAATTTCATTAGCCGCATAACGGCAAGGCATGCAACAATTTTTGTGCAATTTTCCCTCAAAAAGGGATAACAATCTATATATATATATATATATATTTTCATTCTTATCAAACATCCAGACCGCATCAATGCTGAGCATTTGAAATGAAATATTAATTTGCAAAAATTCCAGAGCCCATTTTGCACAGACCTCTTCAGCATATTTTTTATTATAAATTAATAAGAATTTATGACGCCGACAGAAATGAAATGAACGAAACTCAAACCCAAAGGCCGAACCGCAGGTCCTTGGATTGTACTTTTGAGTTCACCTTCAAAGAGTCTAGGCCAGGCCCAAAGGCAGCCGACGACGACGACGACAGCCAACCGAGATATTTGTCTACAAATATTATTGCTATTCGAAATGTGTAGTAGTTGAAGCTGCTTGGCTTTGTTCATTCGTTCGTTTGGGCCAAAAAATTCCAGGCTGCCAAATATGCAGGAGGAATGCCCTCCACAGGACGCCTCCTCCGGGTAATGCTGTGCAGATAAAGGCCAGTTTGTTGGTGGAGATACAACCTATTCTCCCCCTCTCCAAACTTCTCTATATAATTCTTAATATTTCGTTTCATAAATATGTAAATAAATGCCGACACGAGGGCCAGCGGTCCAAAGGGAAAATGTAAGGAAAAGACAAAAGAAATCTTGGCCAAGCTCTCCTGTACTTTGTTAGCCATTTTGCCACCCAAAAACGAAGACGTTCGGGTGATAGAAACTATAAAGGAATCCCACAAAAACCGCACGGAACTCACAACGGGATATTAAGCACAAAAGTTGGCCACAAAGATTTTCGGACAGAGCCAACTTAATGAAATAAAGCACTCGCTTAGCACAGAGACACACACACTTCCATGCATGTTCGAGGAGCCGATTCCATGGGCAAAACCTTAACCTAAACCATAAGAAGTCAGTCATGAAAAGCGTACGTGAGCAATGAAAAAGTCGCAAACACTTTATTATACGTGGCGGAGAGAGAGAGAGAGAGAGAGAGAGGAGAGTGTTTCAGGCACATCAAAATGCTACGCGTCGCGTATACGAAATAAGTCCTATGTAGATGCAGTCAAGCCACCCACCAGGCACATTACTCATACGCCGCGTCATTGTGCCGCAGTCAGATAAAGACCGAGGGCGAAAGACAAAAGATGGCCACGGGACACTGGTCGGCCGTAGCCAGAGCAAAAGGGATGTTAGCAGGAGGAGGAAGATGAGGAGGAGGAAGCAAAAGAGGTGGCAGAACGACAACCAAGGACGACGCGATGGCAATGCACATAATGGCCGGGTGCGTGAGCTAGGAATTTTGGTATTTTAAACATGTGCCCGGCAGCTAATGCATAGTTTATGGGTCTCTGGGCCTATGGCCGAAAGTGTTGGTCAAATTTGGTCAGCGATTCGAGCGGCCTCCCGAGACGATTCTAGGCCAAACTGTTGGCTAACCTTTAAGAGGAGAGCGCAATCAACTTAAATGGTGATAAATAAAAACAGAAAAAGGGGAAAATCTAAGAGATGGTAAAAATTAATCAGAAATCTGCTGATTTAAATGACTTTTCTTGAATTCTGTTTAGTTATTTTCCCTTTCTAGCAGTTAATGCTTTATTTTATGTAGGAAGTACAAACTAGCCTTAGTAAATTTCAATATTATTTGCTAATAACTTGACATCTTGGTAATTATTTAAGCCAATAAACCGAAGCCCATTGAAACTGATAACCAACTGAGAAGTGGGTGGAAAACTTTCGCTTTTAATTTCACACACAATCAATTTGTGTTTATTAGCTCATTATAAACGTTTTGAGGCTGCTGGCGAACGAACACCTTCATTCGTTAGCCAGTCCTGGCACGTGGGTCGTATACTTAATTTGCTTAGTCAACGAAGCAAATCATTGACCAAAAGAGAACCCCAGTCCCGTATCTGCAGAACGTGCGTGAGATGGTTAAGGATTTATATACAAATTTTATAATTCGAACAACAACCAAAGGCGTAACTACAAAGTCCACTAATTTGAGGTGTTGAAATGGCCCAAGGCCCAAGGCCATCATCCGCAGCATGGAGACCGGCCGCAGGCTTTTGATGTGCACTCAAGGGTTGAAAGGTGGTATAATCAAATCAACGTCTGGACCTCGATCTACATACAGTCCCCTTTTTCGGAAAAGGTTATTTGTTCTCCTTGGAAGTCTCTTTGTTAGGCCGTTTTTGCGGTCATGTTTCTGGTCCAACACCTTATTTGCCATGCCAGCTCACATATCGGCAAGATTTGTACATTTCGTGCTTCTTATTAAGTGTCACTTGGCAGCATTTAAATATATAATCCGGCGCGACTCATATACTTTTTAATAAGCATGCAAATAGCACTTTCACAGAATCGCGCGCGGATTTCTCTGCTCAAGTTTTGCTTGCTTTCCCGAATTTCATCGTGTAATTTCAGTTTGAGTTGCTTGTTTTTGTTGATTATTTTCGCTTCTGGTGAAGTTGCGTCTAGACATTTTAAGCGCGCCAGAGATTATATGAAATTCATAAGCGACACGAGGTTGTCGCTTTGGGGACTTAAAATACCAGCGCTTTGGTCTTAAC